ATTTTATACTCAATTGGATTTTTCCATGCAGGGGATAGATCAGTTACGACCGAATTTGGGCGTACAAATGCAAAAGCCTAATCTACAGACTCAAAATCAATTCCTTTTGACATCACAACAACAGCACGTTTTGGCACAAGCTCATATGCAAGGCAACCTTGGAAACTCAACGAACTTTGGGGAAATGTCAAGGGGTAACATGAATACAAAAGTTAGTCCGTCTGTTAGGAATGATGGATCCATATGCTCCCCAGTGCAATCAAGTTCTCCAAAGGTTTAAACTTTTTTTATTTATAACTTTACTTTGAAACCTTAAGATACGACATCACTTGTTGACATGTGTCAGCCATCAGGGCCCCATGAGTATTTATTTGACCACTTACAAATAAAGGTCACAATTTAATGAGTTTCCATTGATCTTTTATGTAATTTTGGAAAATTAAAAAGGAAAAGAAATTGATGAGTTTAGTTATCTTTTGAGTTTATGTAGTTTTTCTATATAATTACCAAAAAGGTTGTAGCTTCTTTTTAATATTTGTTTCAACTTTTTATGATTTTTTTTTCAAAATTATATATATAAATAGCTTTTATGTTTTTCTATTGTACTTTATGAAATAATAATTTTATTATTATGAAAATTTTCAAAGTCGTGGTTCCTTTTATGAAATTTTTGTACTTGGAAAATGAGATGGTAGAGAGAGTAGTTATAGGGAGAAACTGAAGCTTTGGTATAGGGCAATATATATATATATATATATATATATATATATATATATGCATATATGAAAATGTACAATTGTACACTAACAAAGGTAAAACTTAATAATATTGTGTATGAAAGGTAAAAAACAATTAAACAAAAACCTATTTATATTGATTCTTTTTAGCTTCTTTCTCCATATTGTTTCTATTTTAATTATCACATGGATGTTCCATATCTTTAGTTCTGTGTGAGTGCAGCAGCAGTATTTTGGGTACACTGACGTGCTTTTGATAGATGTTACTCTTGATTGTCGGTTACATTGGTTTTATAACCCTCTTTGATGACTTTGCTTTTTTATTTGGATGTTTAATGGCGTTCCATATCTATTAATATGGAGCATTTGCAAATGCCTTCTGTCTGAGTAGTTGTGCGGTGCTTAACAGATGAAGATAGGTCAAATGTCACATTCTTCCTCTCAACAAGAGCAATTGCAACAGCAGCAGCAGCCATCATCACAGCAACTGCAACAGGTTGTACTTCAATGAGAATTAATTGAAAGATCTCATTCATGAGCTGAACTGTGAGCTACTTCACAAGAAAAACATTCTTTTAGCAACTACAGTGTTACTCCCAATTAAAATACGATTTTGTAAATGGATTTTTCTTAAAAGAAAACTTAACTTCTGCTTAAAACTAATTCACATTCTGTGACTGCTCATTCAATTGCAGAATAGCAGAAAAAGGAAACAACACTCTTCTTCTGGAGCAGCTAACAGCACTGGCACGGGAAACACTGTTGGCCCTTCACCCAATTCACCACCGTCAACTCACACCGGTGCAATAAACTACAACCAGTTTGCAGCATGTTAATGGTGTTTCGAAAAGCATGATGCATGGCACAGATGCAACGGCGGGTCTTACATCATCTTCCAATCTGTTGGTAGGACATATACAAACTTTGAACTAGCTTTTAGAGTCGAGCATGCTGCAGAAGCCACTATATGTATTTCTTAAATCCTTGCTTTAGCGAGGAAGTTAAAAAATGCTGAAATTACTTCTAAATTTATATAGCATCATTACCTTGTGCAGGAAGATATGGATAGGTTTGACTCTTTGGATGAAAATATGGAGTCGCTACTTTCACATGAAAGTGATGGAAGGGATATCTATGGTACCAGTAAACAATGTCCTACTGAACACCAAAAGGAGTCTGCAAAAGGTAAGCCTAGTACATCTTTTGCCTTTACCTTTGATGCATTTTGTTAGTATGCTTACTTCAATTTCTCAATTTCAGGCTTCACTTTTAATGAGGTTGGTTGCATTCAGACCAGGAATAGTGAAGTTACTTGTTGTCATTTTTCTTCTGATGGGAAGTTGTTGGCTACCGCTGGACATGACAAGAAGGTATTTTTTTATAGAGTTCTATTTTTCAATTCTTTCCGCTCGGCATTAAGTTTTGAAATTTAACTTCTTTGAGTGAAAAACAATTGAGAACTACAACCTTTCTCCCATATTTATTGTTTGGCAATTCAGTCTATGTGAAAACAATGGGAACGGACCCGATCATGTTCAGGTGGGTTCAAAATGGGACAACGTTAAGGATAATATGGAAAAAGATAAAAGTATACCTTATTAGTCATTGTGGCAAACAAATTTCCACTGTTTTGACTTAGTTACTCACAAGAGGAGTTAGATGATAGAACCTTTGTTGTTCTTGTTGATAATTTTTAAGCTGGCCTGGCCTGGCAATATCTAACTGGTTAATTCTGGGGTATTCATAGGAAACAAAGGTTGAGGAAATAAATTTTTCCCAGAAAGATGACACAATGACTTGCATTTCTTTCATTAGGTGGTGTTTTGGAATATGGATAACCTGCAAACAGAGAGTACTCCAGAAGAACACAAATTGGTTATTACAGATGTTCGCTTTAGGCCAAATTCAACTCAGTTGGCAACAGCTTCGTTTGATAAAACTGTGCGATTATGGGATGCAGCCAATGTAATCATCGTTTTCTTCTTACAACTTCGATCTATGTTTAAGTTTTGTGGATATTTGAGATTACATCTTTTGTTATTCATATTCCCTCTCCATTTGCTGTCAGTTTTCTGGCATTGTAGACATTAAGGAAGCATGTTTGCGTGATAAATATTTCTGTGCTACTGGTTAACAAGCTAAGTTCATTGTCACAGCCAAGCTATTGTGTGAAAGCATACAATGGTCATCCTTCACCTGTGATGTCCCTTGATTTCCACCCCAAGAAGACGGACTTGTTTTGCTTTTGTGATAAGGACAATGAAATTCGCTATATGAATCTTAATACATTCTCATGCACCCGGATATCCAAGGTTGGTGACTCTTCTTTTCCTGTCTGACCTCTTCAAGATTTCAGACAGTTATGGTGCATTACATTTTATAGATTTTTTTCCTCAGCAGTTATCATTAATTCCCGATGCAGGGAGGTATGGCCCAAGTAAGATTCCAACCAAGAATTGGACAATTTCTGGCAGCAGCATCAGATAAAGTGGTGTCCATCTTTGATGTAGAAACTGATAGGAAAACATTAACATTTCAGGTATGGGTTGTGTATTCTTATCACCCTAGTAAATAGCTCGATGACAGATCTTCCAATCTTGAAATGTTTGTCATATCGAAGACTAAAGCGAAGGTTGTCACAATTAATAGATTCACTAGTACATAACATATACATGTGTTTTTTCTCTTTTCCTTTTTCTAATAGGGGCATTCGGAAATCATAAACTATATATGCTGGGATGCAAATGGAGACTGTTTGGCATCTGTCAGTCACAACTTGGTAAAAATATGGTCAGTGGCTACAGGGGAGTGCATTCAAGAACTCGGTGCTGGTGGGAACCGGTTCCACTCTTGTGTCTTTCATCCAAATTATTCCACTCTTTTGGTGATCGGAGGAATTTCGGTAATTCTTTGTGCTTATTAATGATTTCTTTTTCCCTATATGGAGGTCTTTCAGCCTTGATTCAAATCAATGTTCATGCAATGATAAAATCACTAGTTATATGTTAGCTGGACTCTTCATTTTTTACCCCGAAGTACCGATGTCCGAGCTACAACGCATTTAGATGTAGACATAGGTACGATCCTCTATATATATATATGTGAAAATACTTCCGTAAACTTCTAACCATATTTGTATCATACGCATACATATCTGGTAACTTACCCCAGTTCGAGTAACATTCGAAGTTGCTTTTCGTTTTCATCGTTGCTTAGGGAAGTTTTTACCAGTTCATTTTTAACTTTGATTTGATTTGCTTTCTCTCTTTCCTTAACTATATGGGGTCGCGGCATGCAGTCATTGGAGCTGTGGAACATGGCCGAGAATAGAAGCATGACGATTTCAGCACACGAGAACATAATTTCAGCGTTGGCACAGTCGCCGGTCACAGGGATGGTTGCTTCGGCAAGTCATGATAGCTCTGTGAAGCTATGGAAATAGTTAAATGAAGTATACAATAAAAGTTATGGGATGGTTAAAAGACTTAAAAAGTGTGGGATTTGATTTTATTTTTTAGATGTACGAGGCTATGGAATCTGTGTGTAATTTATTTTGCACTCTCTTCGTAATTTTTCTATATGAGATGAGTAGCTTGTTTGCTTCGGATTAAGTTCTAAGGTAAATTATCTACTTAGCTGATGTGGTATTTTATTTTTTTCAATACCGACATGATTTTATCTTATGGTAATATATTTACCGATATTTTTTAAAACGAGCGATTAAAACAGAATCAAAACGTATCATTATGTATAATTTATAATTTTGAATAAAAGTAATAATTAAGTGATCGAAATAGAAAATAAATAATTAAATAATAAATAGGTGTTCAAACAGATAATTTATCTTAAGTTCTATTAGACATTGACATGTCAAATAAATAAAAATATTAATTATTATTGATAATAAATTGATCTAGTGAGATGAAATATTGTATTCATTAAATAAGGTTAAGAGTTCGAATTTCAACATTTATAATGGAGTAGATTTGGTTGAGAGTATCGCTCTTATATTAAATCTCTATATTATCTTACTTAGGTTAATTAATTGATAGGTCAGATATCGATAATTATACTGAAAAGAAAAAATATTAACCATTAGTAGAATGTAATTTGACCCTCTAAAAATGATTTATTTGAAAACATTAAAGTTTAAATTATCAACAACAAAAAAACTCTAAGGGTACAATTGAGAAAATGACAAATGCTAAAAACTCTTTTGTCATTTTGATTAGAATAATAGTAAAATAATAAGTCCAGAAAAATCCAGGCGATGTCATACGTATGCAAAGCAAGAATAGGATAGAAGAGAGTCCTTTCGGATTAGTCCCATGGAAGAATGTCAATCTCCCGAAGCTTTCGATGTTCTTAACTCTGAAGAAATTCCCTACCATTTCGTTTGTTGCGTTTGCTTGTAAGTAATTCCCATCTCGTCGTTTGCATTTGTTTTTGTTTTCTAAGACTGTTAGTTCCATCTGTTTTCTTCTTTTGCAAGGATCTTCTTGACAAGCCCATCGTTCTGCGTAAGATTTGATTTTATATTTCCTTTTGATTGTCTCGTAGAACTAATTTAGAATTTTTCATGATTTTTATTTTGTCCGATTATCGATTGATCGATTATTAATTTTCTTTTCCAAAAAAAAATGCAGATTGCGGTCATATAGCATGTTTTTGGTGCGTTCACAAATCAATGAATTCTCAAAAGGAGTCTCATTGTCCAATTTGTAGAAATCCATACGCTCACTTCCCTGGAATTTGTCAAACACTTCATTTCTTGCTGTTAAAGTTATATCCGATTGCATACAAGAAAAGGGAAGTCCAAACTCTAGGTAAGATCGGTTTCCTCTGTTCGATTTTGTGTTTTGTGAAATATGTTTCCTGTCAGTTGTTAATTACAGAGAAAATCAAGTGAGACTGTTTAGCATAATTTTCAGTAGGGGTATCTAATTCCATAAAGTTGTCCTTTTTTCGACATCGATAATTAGGGACCCAATTTTGCATTGAATCATCCTGCTTATGTTTGTCAGGCTTCTCTTCTCGGTAGTGGATTGTCTTTACAGATAAGGGATATGTTTGTTGTACATTGTGAAGCTTAATATCTTGTTGCCTCTGTATGCTGCAGAGGAGGAAAAGAGAGTTGGCTATTTCTCTCCAGAGTTTAATGATCACAAATGTAAACCACGAGCTTGTACCAACGAAGAAAAGGATCGGATTTCAGCTGCGGATTTGCTTTGTACCGCATGCAAGCAATTGCTTTTTCGTCCTATTGTTCTTAACTGTGGTCATAGTATGCATGTGCAAAATTTTGTTAATTAGCATCACAAAGCTTCAGTTTCCTGTTATCTATAGACTAATCTTTTCTCTTTTCAGTTTACTGTCAAACTTGCATCATCTTCCCAGCCAATGAGATGCTTAGATGTCCGTTTTGTCAATGTTTGTGTCCAAGTAGTTTTCCAAAAATCTGCTTGACGCTTGATCAGTTTTTGGCGGCTCAATTTCCCAATGAATATTCTCTAAGAAAAGCTTCTTCCAAGCATGATAGAGCAACCACCTGTATGTGTAATTGCATTGTTGATCCCACCTTGTTATGTAGGTCCATCAAAGTTAACATTTTGGCTGACTTAGTGTTAGCTGATTTTATCATTGGTTCCAACTTCCAACCTTTTTTATGTTGATGGGTTTATTGTCATATATTTAAGCCTAAAAATGAGGCATATAGTTACAGATTCAATTATCACAATTCACTTACATATTGGTGATATTGATCTAAAAAAGAACTGGCTGTATTATGTTCTAATTTTGATTCGTCTGCGAGTTTGGACTAATTATGTTCTAATTTTTCAGGTTCTGTGGAATCTAGTAAATTAGATTTTAAACCTCTCGAGCTGCCCTCAAGTGGTCGTCTTCCTTCCTCTGTTCAAGCTAGCTCATATAAACATGTAGGAGTTGGTTGCGATGCTTGTGGGGTAATGCTTTGCTAATTGTCTAATGTACAAGTGCATGTTGCATTTATGTTCCAATATCACACCAATTATCTTTAAAAAGTTTTGCTTGCTTGTACTAATTTAAATTATTTGCAAATACTCTAATGGAAATTCAGAGTACCAGTACATATATATATATATATATATATATATATATACCTTTGTTTTGACTAGCATCGTGTTTTTCTTTTTCTACACTCATTAGTCGATGCTTGTTGATAGTTGCTGGACATTGAAAACTTGTAAGAGGGCGTTTTATTCTTTAGGATTTAATGTTTATGGAAATTTTAGTGCTTTTCAAGAAAACATGTTTCTTGAGCTAATGCATTTACTGAACTCAATGTTGCTTGGACTCGGGTATGAGTATTGGATGTGGATATGTGTTCGACACGAGGATTTTCGATTTTTTTCAAGTCATATCCTCATATCTAGGTCTTGGTATGCGTCAAGCTTAAAAACAATGAAGAGTCAGAGTAACATGGTCCAGTCTAATCATAGCATCAGGCAATATATGAAGGCATTGTCAACTTCAGTGAGATTTCTTAGCAGAATGTCAAGCTTGCATCTAGTTGTTGGCAATTGATGAAGTAGGAGATTGATAATCTTTATTATTCAATTGTTTTGAAACAAATTCTGCGGGTGGAAATAATAGTTTTTAGTTCATGCAGATGTCTCCAATAATTGGGGATAGATACGAATGCATAGATTGTACAGAGAAAATAGGATTTGACCTTTGTGGAGATTGCTATTCTACTCGGCCTAAGCTTCCGGGCAGATTCAATCAGAGACATACCCCAGAACACAGGTTTGAGCGCTTACAAAGCTCCGACTCGAACGCCCTCCCCTGGTGGCAGAACCTTTACAGTGCCTCAGGCTCAAGTTGCAAGGATGGCAGTGTTATTTGGAGTGAAGAGTACGTATATGCGTGTATTTTGTATGTATTTGCACGAGTGTGTGTATATAAAAACAAAATAAGCTCAATATGAATGTGTGAACTTTTGAGCATTCCAAATTCATCATTGGATTATTTATTGGAACACGTCACCTCGAGATAATAAGTTTGAATAAAAAATATTATTTGAGTAAACTCGTCATCTCGATATGACGAGTTAAACATTATAATAAATATCGTAGATCTCAATTAAAAATCTGACAACCTATTCTACAAATTTTATTTTCGACCTACTGAACTAGGGGGGAAAACCAAACAATTTGCTCTCTTTTTAATTCAATAAATCAAGTTAATTTAATCAACATGTTGACAATAGGGAATAATGGTACAATGCTTGTTGGGAAATAAACGAGAACGAGTAATTTCTTTATAGCCAGATTAGTGAGAATGCGAAATAAAAGCGGAAAAATAATACCCGAAATTGATAACGGAGTTCAGCCAATTGTGCTTACGTCTCCGGACTGCTGTAGATCTTTTACTAAGAGAGAAAATTTACAGGTGTTTACAAAACACTCACTACTCACAAGAAACTCTAGTATTGGGAGAAAGAAATGATTTTTGGGATTTGAGATTTTGGGATGATTTTGAAGCTAAATGAGCTAGGGTATTTATAGTTGAAGCTTAAGGGATAATCTTGTAAATACCCTAAAGTTCAATGACTCAATTTTGTAATTATCCCTATTACAAAATAATAAAAAATTTAGCAGCCCTCCCCACTTGTTTTTGCAGCCCTCCCCACTTGTTTTTGCAGCCGCCGGCTGCTTGAAGAAATTTTAACAATCTCCCATTTGAAGACTGATTTTAATCTGTCTTCACACCTCGATCGATGCAACAACATTTCTAGTCTTGTTATTCTATCATGCCAACTGAAGCTGAACACAACTTCAGTTTGTCCGTAGTCACCGTCTTTGTCAACATGTCTGTCAGATTTTGAGCTCCACTGATCTTTTCAAGTTTCAAAATCCCATCTTCCAGAAGATACCGGATAAAATGATATCTCAATTATATGTGTTTCATCCTGGAATGAAAAGACGGATTCTTTGCTAGATGGATAGCACTTTGACTATCGCAATACAAGACATTGTTTTCTTGTTTCTTGCCTAACTCTTCCAAGAAACTTTGGAGCCAGACCATCTCCTTGTTGGCTTTCGTAACAGCGACATATTCTGCTTCAGTTGTGGAGAGAGCAACTATCTTCTGTAGTTGAGAAACACAACTCACAGCAGTTCCTCTTAGAGTATAGACATACCATGTAGTGCTCCTTCTGATGTCAACATTTCTGGCTAAGTCAACATCTACATAGCCTGTCAGTATCGTATCTCCACCTTTGAAACAAAGTGTTTTGTTTGTAGTACCCCGCAAATATCTGAGGATCCATTTGACTGCTTCCCAGTGTACCTTGCCCGGATTACTCATGTACCTGCTAACAGCTCCCACTGCTTGAGCAATATCTGGTCTGGTACAAACCATGGCATACATCAGACTTCCAATTGCTGACGCATACGGCACCTTCACCATGTGTGCACGTTCTTCCTCCATCTTTGGCGACTGTTCTTTAGAGAGTCTAAAATGAACACCTAAAGGTGTACTTACTGGTTTAGCATCTTGCATGTTGAACCTGGAGAGTACTTTGTTGATGTACTAAGCCTGTGATAACATCAAAGTCCCCGACTTTGTGTCTCTCTTAATCCTCATCCCAAGAATCTGCTTTGCAGCGCCCAGACCCTTCATAGCAAACTGCTTCGACAATTTTTGCTTCAAGTGTATAATATGTTGCATGTCTGAGCCTGGAACGAGCATGTCATCAACATACAATAATAAAATAATGAAGTTGTTGTTGTTGTCGAACCTCTTGATGTAGCAATAATGATCTGTTTGGCATCTGGTAAAACCACTGTTACTCATGAAACTATCGAACTTATTGTACCACTGTCTAGGAGCTTGTTTTAAACCATGCGAGCTCTTCTTCAACCTGCATACCAGGTTTTCTTGCCTGCCTCTATAAAGCCTTCTGGCTGCCGCATATAGATTTCTTCTTCCAAATCACCATGAAGGAAAGTTGTCTTCACATCTAACTGCTCAAGATGTAAATTCTCTGCACCTACAATTTTCAACACCAGTCTAATTGTAGATAGCTTCACTACTGGAGAGAAAATTTCATTGTAGTCAATACCTTCTTTTTGTTGAAAGCCTTTGACAACCAATCTTGCTTTGTAGCGTTTGCTCACATCATGCTCTTCTTTAATCCTGTAAATCCACTTGTTATAGAGTGCTTTCTTTCCTGGTGGTAATTCAGCTAATTCCCACGTCTGATTTGACATAAGCGAGTCCATCTCATCTTTCATGGAAGACTCCCACTTGACTGAATCCTCCACTTGCATTGCTTCATCATAGCACTCTTGTAACACCCCTAACTCATATCCGACCTGAATACAAGTCCGATGTGTCACATTGACCTTTTAAAACATGTACTTGTATAAAATAGTGAGTAATTTAAAACTTTTATAACATATAAATGACTAATTTACATAAAAGACATTTTCATTATTACAAAACCAATCAGAGCGGGTATATTTCACTTATTTATTTACATATAACTATTCGAAACATTTATAAAACTGTTCATAGCTTAAACAATATATTCTTTTGAAAACATGCCAACTAGAACTTTATATACTAAAATACATATTATTCACATCTTTTCTGATCTGACCTTTAGTAAGGAGAACTGACCTGTCTTGCTCCACATTGCTCTTTACTCTTCTCGAAACCTAAGTGTAAATCACTTACACGTTAAGTCAAAGACTTAGTGAGGCATATAAACATATAAGGTAAACGGTAACTAATAATCATACCTAAACAATTACTACTATCATTTCATACCACTCATACTTTTACATGTAACAAATATATGCATACATATATGTCATTATCATTCATATCTCTTATCTCATGTTCCTATGATCTTTTATGTCCATATCATTTAACATATATCATAACCAATTGCACATATACATATCATGTCATGTAAACCATATATATATACTATCATAAAACACGTACACCCAAGCAACTATATTATCATCTTCATTTCTTTCTTATTTTATCACTATCATTGATTCCTTTCATCATATGGTCTTATAAGTTACAATTTGTACAATCAATATCACACATGAAATTCCACAAGGAAACAAACATATTATCATATCACTTTATTAATATTATCTATTTAATAACCCATGATACTCATGTGAGAACTAAAGATATGCGAGTACATAGAGGTTGTGCACTAATGCTGTCACCACAGCTCATATAATTGCACCGAAGTGCCACATATAATTGCACCGGAGTGCCGCGTAGAATTGAAGCGTAGTGCCATATAATACTGTCCATAAGGGCCACATATCATTCTCTAAGAATCATATACATATACTAGGGATCAAGTATGTGTCTCACCAAACTTCACACATGTTCCAAAGAATACATATATGTCCCGAAAGACCACATATCATTCCTTAAGAATCATATACATATGCCAAGGATCAAGTATGTGTCTCACCAGACTTCACACATGTTCTAAAGAATACATATATGTCCCGAAGGACCATATAGACCCTCGACTCTTGGCATGCCAACTATACCCCTAGCTCTCATGACACATAACATGGGCATTATCTTTTATATCCTTTTACATATTCATGTAACCATATCATATATTCATATAAGCTCATGGTTTCATTCACATATACATGTAATCACGTAGTTCATGTCAATTCTCATAGGAGTTCATATTCATATAAACATAGGATTCACCCTCATGTATCACATATACTTTCTCTTTCATATGGCTCATAACATTTCTCATGTGTTCATATGACATGTAAATCATTGTTATCTTATCATGTTATCACATAAACATACCATCTTACAATACATAAAAAAACACATCAATACCTATATTCACATATACCTATCATTTCATTATTCTTATTATTATTCTTATCATCACCATTAATCCCTTTTACTTACCATATTCATATCAATAACACATATACTCATGCACACATATAAATCATAACAAATATATACTTCTATGAATTCATGTTTTTCACTATTGGAAATAGACTTATCACAAGTCTTATTTTCCCTTGAACCTCATATACTAGAGAATGTGCACTCACCTTAGCCTTGTTTGCTTTGAATCAATCTTAATCCTTAGATTGTTCCGGAACAAGCTTCATTCAATATCTACATCATAATAATACATTGATACATATCAGTATACTAATTGATATCTTATAAATTGCCACTTCTTAGGCTAAAAGAAAAGCCCCTTTCATCTTTTAATGAAGGTATGCATCGATGCACTGCACAGTGTATCGATGTATTCCCTATCGGTGCATCGATGCACTACCTGTGCATCGGTGCATAAAATACATTCGATGTTTGTTTATTACTGAGATGCATCGATGCACTTCCTGTGAATAGATAACAATTTCTGGATTTTAACCTTGATGCATCGATGCACTATGAATGTGCATCGATGCACTCTGCCCAGAACCTCTTTTTGAACCCAAAAATTCTTTCTTTTTGGATTAAATCCTTCATATTTCAACCCCTTTCATATTCCTAACTTATATATACATACTTAAACTCATTAATATTCATTTATCTCATCTTTAACCTCTAAATTCCATCTTTCATATGGAAATTCAAGAATCATACTCAATTTCTAACATGTTCCAAATTCCATTCAATTGCTTCTAACTTCTTAATTAGACCCTTGACAAGTCAAATCCAACTTTAGAACTTCAAAAACCTTTCTATAACAAAAGTTCATTTATAAACCCTTAATAGAAATTCATTTCTAATTCTCTCTCTTTGGTGTTTTAAACTTATATAAGCTTTCCTTAAGCTTATATAACCCCCAAAGACTCAAATCCAACTTAAAACTTTCGAGAAATCAAAAGCTAAATCAAACTTACCTTTGCTCTTGGCTTCCACGTAAAGAAGAAGAAGAAATGAGAAGAGAACTCTGGAGAATT